CATTCCGAAGTGCGCCCGTGCGCTTCCGAGAAAAATGCACCTCCGTACCTCGTCGCCGAACAAGAGTGGAATTTCCTTAGCCGCGAAAAGAAATCGACTTTACACGCGCTACGACTTGACGACAAAACAACCCAGACAACTCTTTTTGCCCCTGTTTCTTCGCTTGAATTGGGCAATTGTCTGCATCGCCGTGACATTTCGTCATTCTTTTTTTTCGTCAACGATAAGACTCGCTTCCCCCGCGCAAGATGAGTGCACAAGCAGACCCCGCCCAGCGGGTTGCGATAGGAATCTCCTTTGGCAACTCATACAGCTCTATTGCCTTTACTACTGGTGTGAGTATTTCTCAATAGACAAGATGGCTACTGAGACACAACTAACAGCAATGTAGGAGGGCAAGGCAGAAGTTATTGCCAACGAAGACGGAGGTGCGCCGCCTTGATACTCGCCCACATTCTCTCGCCAATACTAATCTTTTGCACAAAGACCGCCAGATTCCCACCGCCCTATCCTACGTTGAGGGTGAAGAACTTCACGGCGGCCAGGCCAAGCCCCAGATTGTCCGCAATGCAAAGAACACCGTCGCATACTTTCGCGATTTCCTCGGCCAAGAGTATGGCTCTCCGTTCCTTTTCTCTTTGCGTGTTCCTATGTGACTGACGCTATCCAAGTTACAAGTCAATAGACCCCTCGCCATGCCACCAGTCGGCCCACCCCATCGAGCACGAGAACAGCATTGCGTTCAGCATCCGCGACGGTACTGAGGAGCAGGAAAACACCGTTTCCATTGTCGATATCACTACACGCCACCTTAAGAGGCTACGCACCTCTGCCTCTGACTACCTTGGAAAGGATGTCAACGCTGCCGTCATCACCGTTCCCACAAACTTCTCCGACGCCCAGAAGGAGGCACTCAAGAAGGCTTCAACAAGTGCTGGTATGGAGGTCCTGCAGTTCATCAGCGAGCCCACCGCCGCTGTCCTAGCCTACGACGCTCGCCCAGGTGCGCAGCTCGCGGACAAGGTCGTCGTCGTTGCCGACCTGGGTGGTACCCGTGCTGATGTTGCTGTTGTCGCATCCCGTGGCGGCATCTACACTATCTTGGCAACAGTTCACGACTACGATGTCAGTGGCTTCAAGCTCGACCAAGTCCTCATGGACCACTTCGCCAAGGAATTCATGAAGAAGCACAAGTCCGCCGGTGACCCTAGGGAAAACGACCGATCGCTGGCCAAGCTGAAGCTCGAGTGCGAGGCTGTCAAGAAGGCCCTCTCTATTGGTACCACAGCAAACTTCTCCGTCGAGAGCTTAGTAGGTGGCGTCGACTACACTGCCACCATTAACCGCACCCGATATGACCTCCTTGGCAACAAGCTCTTTGGTGCCTTTGCCCGTCTCGTCACCCACGCTGTTGAGAAGGCCAAGTTGGATCCCCTTGACGTATCCGAGATTGTGTTGGCTGGCGGAAATTCTCACACACCAAAGGTCGCCTCTTCCGTGGGCGCAGCCTTCCCTGAGTCTACCGTTGTGCTGGCTCCCTCCACCTCCCCCTCAGCCATCAACCCTTCAGAGCTGGCCGTCCGCGGTGCTGCTATCCAGGCCAGTCTTATCCAGGAATTCGAGCTTGAGGACATTGAGCAGAGCACCCACCCCATGGTCACCGTCACTCCTCACCTCTCCACCGCAGTCGGTGTACTGTGCATCTCTGGCGATGAGTCTTCGGGTGTCTTCCACCCCATTGTCGATGCAGAGACACCGCTACCCGTCCGACGAACTGCGACCATTTCTACCCCACGCGAGGGCGGTGATGTGCTTATCAAGCTTGCCGAGGGTTCAAGGCACATCAAGGTTACCAAGCCAGAGCCCAAGCCCAAGGCTGAGAAGAATGAGGATGACGAGGACGACAGCGACGAGGATGAGAGCGAGGACGAGGAGGAAGAGCTGAGGGAAAAGACATGGAAGGTTGGCCAGGCCCTCAGCGAGGCCGCCATCCGTGGCGTCAAGAAGGGCGCAAAGGTCGAGGTACAAATCAACATTGGTGCTGACCTAAGCATAAACGCCATCTTCCGCGAAGTTGGAGGAAAGGGTGGTGTGCGTGGTACTGTCCAAGGAAGCAAAGTGAATGGTAGCGCATAAACGGAGTCTTGTTTGGACTGGGTCCCAACTCTCTCCCCTTGACGATTTACACATTCAATATCTTGAGCGGTGGCAATATACAGCATATAAGGCTAGACATTTTTGTCGCTTTTCTCAATATTCTAGGTTATAGGTGTCTGCGAAAAATTTAGGATTTATAGACGTGTGGTATCTGCTGAGTTTGGTCTTGTGCAATGTCCGGTAACCTGTAATCTCGGGCTTGGTGATGCGTGAATGCTGATGCGTTTTCACAGTCTGTTCTCAGTAATTGTAGTGTCGAAGTGGTTGTCTCGATGCCCGTGTTACTGTTTGTCGAGGAAGACAGGGACTTGTGTTGAGTGATGCTTGAGTACTACGACTTCGCTATCATGTGATAGCCGTACTGAGTACAACATCAACAGAGACCACACAGTAAAACGGCCAAATATCCAACTCTTTTTATCCAAGACATTTCCTTCAACTAACGACTCTGCAACAACCGAAATCTTGGCCTCATCTTCCTCCCCAATGTCGTCCCGTTAATCCACTCTTCATAATCCATATTTCGCGTCGTGCCAATCAAAGACCAGATATCCTCATAGTGCCACCTCCCCTCGATCCAATTTTCCTTATCCAACTCCTCAACAAGCAGAGACTCGAGCGCCCCCAGCTCCTCCCCATACTCCTTATCCCACTCCGTGCTAACCCCAATATTCAAATATCGCAAACGGCCAAGCCACCGCTCATCAATAAGTGAATACAAATCCGTTGGCGTAAAACTGCGCGCAGGATCGCCCTGGCGCCCACTCGACACGAGCGTAAGACTAGTAAGCGGTCTCGCCTCTTGCCATCGGGCTTGTGAGAAATCCATTGGCATGGAGCCAAACCGCGAGTCAATGTAATCAAGCGCTATAGTCAGCGACACGAGCTTCGGTAGCCATTCCAGCACACCGTTTAGCCGTCCTTGTTTTACAGCAGGTAAATCACGTAGTTCAACGGTTGTAAGATTCGTAGCGAGGGTGCTGAGTAGCGGTCTTACGCCGGAGTGGTCAAGCGCGGGACAGTGGTATATACTTATTGAGGAGAAGGTTGGGGGGAAGTTGTCGGGTTGTTGGAGCATGTCCCAGAGGAATTGTCCGGAGACTGAGCCTGAGAGGGCGAGGTGCTGGAGGCGAGGGGGCCAGCGCAATGTTGATGTTGGAGAGGTAGCTTTTTCGTAGCGTGAGGAGCAGCGGGGGAGGTAGAGTTCACGGAGTTGGGGAAGTTGGCGGATGGTTTGGTTGAGGGATTGGAAGTCGATGCATTCCGAGACTCTGCCGAAGCTGGGGCGTTAGATGGGAGGTTGTGATTGAGATATCGCTTGGAGGGTGGCTTACAGGCTCAGGTCTAGGACGCGCAAACGAGTACATTTGCTTAGGCTTGCCCAGCAGTTTATTGCAAAACTGGCTTGGGGTGCTACGAAGACTTCCAGGGAGGATTTTGTGCGGCCTAGCAATCTGGCTGTTGTAGATTTCGCACCTTGGTGTACGATGTGGGATAAGTCCAAGTCTTTGACTAAGCCAGATAATGGTGACGGCTATTTTTTGTTAGTCTCTTTTGGTATCGTTCATCGTGGGCCTGAAGGTCTACAGGGATAATTACCTTGATGCGTGCATTGACAGAAGGGCTGATTGTGCGCACGAAGAGGTCATATGCACGTCCCAAAAGAAATGGTGCCTCGTATAGTGGCTGTATGGCTACCTGGTAGGGTGAACAAAGTGGTAAGTAGGTAATGCATCAAAACGATCAAGGTGAAACCCGACATACATCGTACCATTGCCTGCCCTGTCAGCTCACGTGAACAAGAAAGCATCTAGACCTTCGCATACCTATTTACGGCGGAGAAGCGAGCCAAGGTAATTTGCCTCTCGAGCCTGCTCCATGACTCAAGATGGGACAGTATCTCGAGCAGCAACTCGTCAGGTAGGTAGTTGGCATAGCTTCCAGTATTACACGTAGCCATGGCTTACTGAACCGGTTGTTATATGATATCTGAAACTATCGCGTAAGTGATGTTCCTGGAGAGCGTTGAGCGCAAAGGTGCTGTTGGGATGACGCACTAGCACGTAGGTTTGCGCTTATCTCCTTGCTAAAAGCCGAGTTTGGGGAACCGCCATGCACGCCGTCACGCTAGGCATTCATGCATGTGGACACGCCATTACGCGACAATTAAACCACCTATTGAAGCTAGGCACAATGTTGCACAAGGACCGACGCTCTGCTTTTCGAGGTACAACAAAAGGACAAGTTACTTGTCCCGGATGCCAAGCCCACACAGTCTCTCTCTCCGCAACGGACATGAGCTACTCCGCACCCAGACTGTTAATCTACCCGGCTCGGACCGGGGTTGTGTTTACGGAAATCGATAGATAGACTTACAGCACGGAATTCACAGTGGTCACAGCGGACGGCAAACCAGTGGGAGGATTGCTATATGCCGCCCAAGGATAACATCAAGGTACTGCACAACATGGCAGGTCTTCACGCTCGACTAAGCCTGCCAAGCCAGAGTGCATAGCACGATCCCTGCCCGCTTCAATATCATTTTTCACTCTTTGCTCACCATCGGTCCTTTTTCGCTATGCAATAGTCCAGCCCCAACAATCCTAGCGGGAGACAAAGCCGTCAGATATTAGCAAAACATGAGCGATTGCGTAGCTTACGTACTTGTAGGACCACTCCACAGCTACAAATCACATAACACGGCAGGGATGACATTCCTACTCTACCGTGTAGTTCCCGCGCACAGCCAAGCCATTGGACGTACTTAGGTAGACTGGCGGGGTGTTTGTCCGATAATTGATTGTTTTAAGTCTTCACCCTTGCAGATCACCTGTAAAGTTTAAGTCGCCTGCGACACTGGTACAAGTCCCCTTTCCTTGGAGGGAAATTTCCCGGGGTTGGCCAAATTAGCCCAGTTCATACTACTTTTTCTTGCTTGCGCAGATAAAAGGAATCCACGTTGCCCTCCTGTTCCTTTTTTGCCCTCGAACAGCCCCAGAAGTTCGAATTTCCCACATCATGAAGGCGACTATCACTGCGCTAGCTTTATTAGGATCGGCAGCCGCTGAGCGCCTCCTCCTAGCATCTTATGGCACCGACTCGAATCTGGGCGCTGTTACAACTCTCGAACTCTATCCCAGCACTGGTTCTAAATGCAGCCGCAAGCTGGAGGTTATTCACTACAACCAAGAATGCGGTGCCCTTCCTACTTGGCTCGACACAAGTCTCGGCCAGAATAGGGTGATCTGCCTAGATGAATCAGGCAACGCCAACATCACGACATTCAATCTCCAGGCTAATGGTAGTCTGAAGAAGATTTCTAGTTCGCCTGCGCTGGGTGGTGCTGTATCTTCAGCAACCTATAACAACGGGTCGGCTATAGCACTCGCTCACGTAAGTGCCTTTTATCCGTATAAGACAAAGTTTCTTGCCCGTACTTGTATACTAACCTCTTATCAATAGTATGGACCTCCAGCGATATCTTCCTACTCCGTACACGGCAACAGCCCCCTTCAATCGCTCCAAAACATCACCTTCGCCGACCCAGAAAAGATCCACCAAGCTGTCCTTGACCCCACAGGACAGTACATGATCTTCCCCAGTCTGGGCGCCGACCGCGTGCATGTCTACGCCATCAACCCCACCAGCGGCCAACTAACCCAACTCGAGTCTCTGGTCTCCCCAGCCGGCTACGGCCCCCGCCACGCCGCCTTCTGGATCTCCAAACAATCAGGCTCCACCTTCCTCTTCGTCGTCCACGAACTCAGCAACAAAATCATCAGCTACAAGGCCACCTACCTCGCCAACCACGCCGGAATCAAATTCACCCAGGTCGACGAAGTAAGCACATATGGCAACTACACCCTCCCGGACAAAAAGCTGTCCGCTTCGGAAATCTCAATCTCCCCCGATAATGCCTTTGTGCTTGCCGGAAACCGCAACGGCACCATTTTCACCGTCGACAATCCGGATCCCAAGAATAGCACCAAAGTGCCGAGCGACTCGATTGTTACATACAAGCCGTCGGCAGATGGTAAATTGAAGTTTGTCCAGCTAGCCAAATCTGGGGGCTACTTTCCACGCCATTTCCATATGAGCAAGGATGGCGCGTTGATTGCGGTTGCAAATCAGCGGAGTAACAATGTGGCTATTTATGCGAGGGATGTCAAGACGGGGGTTATTAAGGATGATAAGCCTGTAGCGGGAGCTGCGGGTCTTGGACCGGGAGACCTCATGTGAGTCTATCTTTTTTTTTCATCTTTTTTTGAAGCTCTTGGACTGGTTTGCTAACTGTTGTCTAGGTATATCACATGGGTCTGAGAGTAACGAAGAGGAGTGTAGGCCATGACAAAGACGAATAAGGGTTTTGAGCTTCAATTGTGCATAGTTCAATGATGCCAAAGAGCAATCTAGTAAATTTAGATTTGTAAATCTAGATGATAAGTAGTTGGTCTTCAAGGTATTTGTTTTCCTTGTTCTTGTGCAATAGCCCACGCCACGGCGTCCCATACATCACCCACAATTTTACGTGGTTCAGGTGATGGTTTGGTACCCTTGACGTAGACGCCCGTCTCTACTAATATACTAGCCCAATCGGTGCCGTACGGACTCTTGTAGTTGTTGCCACCAGCAATGTCACTGGCTGGGTTATCGCCAACCATATACACTCGCTTAAGATGGTCAAGAGTTCCGCCGTACTGTTTCATCAGGTGACTGCGATGTGCTAGGAGTCGCTTTTCGGCAAACTCATAGGTAGGCTGATGTGGTTTCCCCATGACAACCTTATGCAACTTGACACCCTTTGCCTCTCCACCAGTCACTGCTGCCCAAATGCCTTCAAAAGCTTCGCGGAAACCTCCTTGACCCAGGCGTGGAAGGTGGTATTTAGCAGCCCAGAGTAAGTCTGGGTTAGAATAATAAACTGTGGGCTGTCCGTCTTGTTGGTAGCCACGATTCTCTAGGGCATCATTGCCGTTCTTCTTGGACAAAGTTCCCATGATACCCTTTTCCGATAGTAAAACATCTTTGATGATTTGCGCATCAAGGCCCCAGTCACGCGGATCATTGTAAACGAAAACGGCATCGATACGGAGTGATGTCGACGGGGAAGAAGGGTCGATAGGAGCAGGTAGAGGGCGAGTAAACGTCTCATAGTATGAAAGCAATTGCTGCGAAAAGGGCCAGACTTCTGGATGAGCCACCAGAATATCGCCTGGGGTGACCACTGTCTTGAAGCTGTGCACATTTGTTAGGACACATAGCGACATGGATGTGCGTTTCTTCGTACCCGTATGCCTCAGCAACTTTTCTGCACTTGTCTGCTTCACCGCCAACGACCATGACTGTCTTGTCCTTGAGATGGTCCATGTCGGCAAAGGGTGTATGGCTCTGAACAAACATGGACGTATCCAGAGGGATATCAAGCCTGCTGCTCAGGTCGGCGACGCGCTCCAACTCGTGTTTTCCGCCGCCATTTGTGAGCAGGATGAATGGGATGCGCTGCGCCTGGAGATAAGAAAGGGCCTGGTGAGCTCGTGGCAATGGATCGGCACTTCTAAGAAGCACCCCGTCGATACTGACAGCCGTCAGCGGCCGTGTTGTGAACCCGATGGCAGAAGTGCCTTACTCGAAAGCGAACGCAAAGTCGGATGCGGGGGCATGGGGGGCAGCTGCCGTCTGGAGAAAGCGACGAAGCGGGATATGGTACCCGCTGCGTGTAAGTGGTCTCGTCGCACGTATTATTGTTGCTGGTACCATTGTCAAGGTGTTATGTGTCGTTGAAGGTACAGGGCGACATGTAGGTGGAGCATAGAATGTCACCCGCTAGACCCACTTTAATCTTCGGAGCCGTTCATGCACCCATCACACGCATTCACAGCTGGCCCACTTCGTTCATCAACTGCAACCAACCTTTTTTTCTCCAATCCAAATGTGTTCTGTATACACTCGCTTGCAAGATTGGCCTCCAATGTCTGCATTTGGGGCCCTTTTTCATCACAAGGGGTCAGCCTCGTTGAGCGAAAGCTATACTGTGGCATCAAAGCCATAGCAACTCAGCATTGCGTGTTTCCTGCCCCAGCATCCTTTCTAATTTAGTTACAATTGATCCTGCAATCTATTCTTCATACCCAGCAACTTTATTGGATGCTAAAATGAACACGAGTGGTTGTATCACAACGAGCTTGGCACCTATCAGCTGAAAGAGCGACCTTATCTTTTGTTACACAGCATTGCTATGGTCCGTTTGCTCAAGATAAGTCATACGTGAACCCACTGCCTAGACCCTGAATTTGATTTATTGACTTGAACTCTGGAAATTGCGGGGTACTAGCCACGACCCTAACACTATGAGCCATCGTTGCGTACCCTGCGATCGAGACTTTAGCAATGATGAGGCTCTGCAGCAACACAAACGAGACTCACCAGCACACAAGTCCGACTGTTTAACATGCAATCGTCATTTCAAAAACGACCAGGCTCTGACACAGCACTACCAGAATGCTGCTGTTCACGCTCAGTCCTCTGAACATCCAACCATTCTTACGACGCCTCCTCAAGAACAAAAGTCGACTACGAAACCAAAGTCGACGATGAAACCAAAGTCAACCAAGAAACCAAAGTCGGCCATAAAACCGAAGTCAAACAAAAAATGGACGATGTATCCTTCACTTCACAATGAAGTGTCCGACCTCCTTTACGTAGACAATCTTTCCTTCAGCTTCTACGAGAAGGACGACGCCAACAGCTGCATAAACGAATATGATACGAATGTCATGGGCCGGTTTACTTGCAGCAATACAGCATGCCTGGCTGTTTGGACAAGCAAACAGATCGCCATCACTATACGGAGATATCTCGACGGAGGATACAATGCAAGAGTCTACTACCAATCCTGCAAACGCTGCAGCACGACGAGTGAACCAAAACTAGATGATTCATACGCAGAAAGAGTGGCATATCGTCTCAAGAAGTGGTCTGGCATCCAGATGGAACTCCCTCCCTTCTCAGGGCTGAGTAATGGTCCACATAGAAGTGATCTATGTGAAGGGTGTAAACAGGGTCATTGTAGCAAAATGATATTGTGATGTTAGTCAACTTAGCAACGATAAGCATCGTATTAGGGACAGAGGCCGTCATTTTCTTTAGCAGAATCGATGCTATGGTGAGAGTACTTGTTGCAAATTGCTTAGCTATCGGAAACAAATTTTTTATTAGTAACACCACCAAGCAATCGATTATGCTGCCCGGTAGTCTCTCTATAAAGAATGAAATGATGCAGATGGAAATCAACTAACTCTCTCCAGAATTCTCACCGGTTCCCGTCTGCGTATTCCACCATGCGATAGTACTGTACTTTTATGTAGGATGAAGTTCGTAGAAAATCGAAGTTTCCGAATTGTGGACACTAATATATTGCAAAACGGTTCGATATCACTAAGGCTACTATATTTTAGTAGTCGCGCCGGCTCATCTAAGGGGGCACAATTGCACAGTATAGCGCGGTGCGGTATAGCTGATAAGAGAGTCAGCAGAAGGCCATTTTGCACTGCATAAAATTAGAGAGACGAATGCCTTGGCGACACAAGTAGTAAGAACGATGACTGACATGCACCTGGCATAACATGAGTTTTCAGGGGATAGAAGGGTAACATATTCCAGTATATCACGTGACAGTCCATCAGATACAAGCAGAAGCTCACCGTAACGGAAGCCGATTCTTGCAAGTGATTGTATCACAGATAGGTGCATGCAGGTTTTGAGTTTGGTTGTTCTTGCTACATGCTTACCTGCTCCCGAACCACTTTGATTGCCAAGACCCCGCGGACCTGTCCTTCGAGAACAATAGTAGTGGATTTTCAAGCCACAGCCCCATATTACTATGCTGTCCGGGCCCCCTCCTGGATACGAACTTATCCTTTTCAGAGAAATACTATGCTAAACACATGGGTATCCCTTCGTTATGTACATGCGAACAGTGTTAACCGATGGATTCTAATGACATCGAGTCCATCACATGGCCACCGTGATTGCTTGTCGAGCAAGGCTCTAGATTTTCGATAGTGGCTTCATGAACGAGTTGTCATGACCAGGTTCTTCCGACAACGAAAAGGGAGATAGCGCCTCCATACGCCAAACCCAAGAACAATAGTAACACAACAGGACGCAACCGCCACCCTTTTTCGCTGCCCACAGTGCAGCAACCAGAAAGAAAATCTAGAACACATGGACAATGAACAATTCTATCCCACAAAGGAAACCCCTTCTTTCTCTGTCCGTGACGTCTGATCTCCGTCCAGACTGAAAAAAAGCATATAAGTTCTTCAACTCCTTCGAGTCCAACTTCCTCACCACACCAGTCACCAGTTCTGCAATCACTTAAATTTCTCTCGTTCCAACTCTATTCTTACTCAAAAACCTACTTCTCCCCAACCAAATCAAAATGGCAGGCGTTGTTACTGGACCCGGTTGCACCATCTCTCGCCGTGGCGTCGTTACCGGACCCGGGTGCACCATCTCCCGCGGTGTTGTTACAGGCCCCGGGTGCACCATCTCTCGTGGCGTGGTCACTGGCCCAGGCTGCACCATCTCTTAAACAGTTCTTGCCTAGTTGCGAGAGAGAGAGAGAGAGCGAGAAAAGGGGAGAGGACCAGGGGTTATTACCATTCTTACGAAGCGTATTCTTACAAATGACGAGGAAATGATGGGGAAGAGGAAGGAAGAGATGATTTGCTCTTTTCTTATTCTCGACCTGTCAGCCTCGGCGCTTTGTTACTCTGCGATACCAACTTGGACTACGGACTACCGGCTTCGAAATGGACAAAAACATCTTCGACACGGGATATTGAACATGGGACGAACAGACGGAAGAATGAACAAAAGTTTATTCATAGGGCTCGTGGGATGTTAAAGTCACTGTGGCCGATGCAGGGTGACAAGGCTATTATTTCGTGTATTATTGCATGTATCTAAATCTTTTAAGTGGAGACATCAATGGAAGGAATAGCTTGGTGACCGCATGGTCATGCTATGATATATGATGGGCATTACTTCATTCAGGTTATCAATGCACTATGTGATGCTTGATCGAAAAGGATCAGGGCAGGTGTAAGGGACCTGGCGGTTCTCGTCACGTGACTTGGCGCTAGTTCAGGTGGCACTCGTAGTCACTCGTCATGGATCGGACAATTAGCATATATGTGAATTTGTAATCAAGACTTTATTCCCAGGAAGAGCGTTCGTATTCCGATACATGTATTTGAGCGAGCGTTAGTCCGTCGCACGCACTTGCTGCTTACTTGCCACGCAGCTGCCTTCAGGCCTAGTGTAAGTTCGTGTCAGTTTTATGCAACATGTGTAGCGCCCCTCTTTTTTAGTTTCTAGTTTAGTTCAAGGTGTAGTCTGAGTATGTTAGCTTACGGCTGTATTTTTCCATCACGTCCTAACATCAGACCATCTTGTCATGCTGGCGAATGCGCAATGGCCAGTTCTCAGAGCCCAGGTCTCTCCATAAATAAAAATCAAAAGGACTTGGCTGCCAAGGATGCTGGAAAACAAGAGGTAGCTCGCCCCTGCGCCCAGCAAAAGGAGACATGTTGATATCATGCCAGTAGAGAGTGCTCGAGAGCAAGCAAGACGTCTGGATAAACAACGTCGCCAGGAGTATTACTTGCTAGTACGGTTCAACGGCGCTCGCTACAAATGTCCACATGTACCCACTCGAACGTGTAAGCCAAAGCGGGCCAAGGCGCCAGTCCCAAAGCGGCATGGCGGTGAAGGGTAGCATCACGATTAGAGTACCGCACACCGGCACGGCCGGGCGGAGGAGCATCGAGTGGATACATATGTCGGCATTGCTGCGTGCTAGCAGCAGGCAGGGCACGGCAACTCGCTCGCGCAGCTGACGGCCCTGGTTCTGAGATACAGAGGGTGGTTGATGAAGCAACCAATGGCCGTAGACATCACACTGGCTAGCCTGGTCGGGAGAGCGATCGGCGCGCGGATGCTTCTCAGGGGGCGCGGTGCGCCATGCGATCACGACGACCAGGGCGGCCAGGGCGGGCTCGGGGAGCAAGGCCAGGGAGACGAGGCTATTGCGGCGTACACGCAGCACCCGACCGTTGTCGCGTTTCGCTCCTCGTTGGCTGAGTGCTGCTCAAATCAAATCTAGTCAAATCAGACGTCAGCCCTGTGCTGTGCTGTGCTGTGCGCGCTTCACGCTCCCTGCCCGTCTCCTCTCCTCTTCCTCTTCCTCTGCTGCATCACCACACCACCACTCCCCCAAACGCCCCTACAGACGACATGTGCGCGCGCCCCGTCCGTCTCTCCGCCTAGACACCTATCCTTCTCCCCCCAGCGTCCTCCACGCCGCCCACCACACCCGCCGTCTTCGCAACCCGAATGCGTGCGCGATAGGCCCCGGGCTGCCATTGCAACTCCGCTCTCGCAGCACTCCCGCCGCCATGTCCTTTCTCTTCGGCAAGAAGAACAAGCAGCAGCAACAGCAAGCCACCACCGCGCTCCCGCCAGCCACTAGGGATATCACTTCTGCACATGGCCCATCACAACACCCACCCGCGCTCAATGGAGCCACTGCTCGCGACGCTGAAAAGTCCCGTGGCGCCCCCCCGGGCCCTTCCACCACCCCTAGCGGCAGCGTCAACAACTCGTTGAGTTCCCTGCAGGGCTCTGTCAACACCTCGACGCCAGAGCAAAAGGCCCTCCGTGAGAAGACGGACCCCAATGCCCAGGTCCGCCCTGCTCCGCTCCCTCTCCATTTGTGCGCGCCTACTGACTGCCCCAGAATGCAAACAACAGACTCGGCGGCAGCAATGCCTCGGAATCCCCCTACCCGTGGTCCTCGCGCCGCCTCAACTTCACCGCCGGCAATCCCTTTCCTCGATACGGCGCCGCCATCAATTCCACCGCCTCGAAAGATGGCACCATCTATCTCATGGGAGGACTCGTGGGCGGCGCGACGGTCAAGGGCGATTTGTGGCTGACGGAAATGGGAAATGGCAGCATGACATGTTATCCCATCTCCACCACCGGAGATGGCCCTGGACCGCGTGTCGGCCACGCTAGCTTGTTGGTTGGTAACGCGTTTATTGTGTTTGGAGGCGACACCAAGCTGGCCGACAACGACGACCTTGACGACACTCTCTATCTCCTAAATACCTGTTTGTGTTCCTCCATGTTTGTTCTTACCTCGTAGCTGACAGCGCCCTAGCAACCAAACACTGGTCGCGCGCACTACCCCAGGGTCCCCGCCCTACTGGCCGCTACGGACACACGTTAAACATCCTTGGCTCCAAGATCTACATTTTTGGAGGTCAGGTCGAGGGCTTCTTCTTCAACGATCTCGTCGCCTTCGACCTCAACTCGCTACAGTCGTCGGCAAGCCGCTGGGAAGTCTTGCTGCCAAACTCCAAGGAACAGACGTCTCCCCAGGGCACATCACCGCAAGCTCGCACAAACCACTCCGTCGTTACATGGAACGATCAACTCTACCTGTACGTATTGCGCCTGTTGAATGCACATCATCTTGTCTGCTAACTCATCCCAGCTTCGGTGGCACAGATGGCATTACCTGGTTCAACGATGTCTGGACATACAACCCACGCACCAACACCTGGACTGAACTTGATTGCATTGGCTATATCCCTGTCGCTCGTGAAGGCCATTCTGCCGCCCTGGTCAACGACACAATGTATATCTTTGGCGGGCGCACCCAAGAAGGCGTTGACCTGGGCGACCTTGCTGCCTTTCGCATTTCGTCGCGCCGCTGGTACATGTTTCAAAATATGGGTCATTCTCCCTCAGCTCGATCTGGTCACAGTATGACTTCATTCGGAAAACATATTGTTGTTCTCGCTGGCGAGCCTAGTTCGTCCATCAGCGACAAGAACGAGCTCAGTCTCAGCTACATCCTGGACACTTCGAAGATTAGGTATCCGCCCAATGAGAGCGCTCCCCCTCCACCCCAGCAGCAACAGGCACCAACCACTCAACGAAAAATGAGCGGCGGTGAAAAAGGAAACATGCCCCCTAAAGTGGGATCACCCCCTGTCCGGGAAAGCATAATGGCCGCCTCACAACTTTCCTCTTCTCCAGACAACATGGCAAACGGATCCATGTCTGCAGGATCGCGGCTGCCACGCGCAGCCAGTCAGCAGCCAGGCCCACCACCAGTTCAGCAACCGCCACAGCCACGAGAAAATGGTGCCAAGGCTAGAAGTAGAACCCCTACCAAGAACGAGCGTGGCCATGGTCCTCCTCTCGACGTAGGGGCTGCAGCTGCTGTTAATAGAGAAAATGCATCGCAAGGAACGCGGGATAGTCCACTTGCGAGCGACATGGAGCGAAAATCTTCCGATGCTGTTGGCGGCCGACGAACACCCAAGCAGTCGATGGACACCGTACGGTCTGCCAGCACGGTTTCGCGAAACACATCCAGATCGCACCAGCAACAAGCCTCCCAGGAGAGCATAGATCAATCAA